AAAACTATGCATCGAATTCATAATTTGCATCTCTCTCAGTTATCCTTAAAGTGCTTTATGATTCGTACAACTCCGTTGTTTAGTTTTCTGTTTTCTTCAGTCGAATCTACCTAATCATCCTCTAGCATGCACTCCATTTTCGATCGGTGCTACATACTACTTATATCTGTTAACATAAATAGCATACATTACATGTCTATTCTCATCATCTATCCAAATAGAAGCTAATTCATGTAGGCATATTCGTATATACCACCACAATATACAGGTGGGGTTTGTGTGGCTATTTATTGTATGTCGATGTCACTCATTCATGATATAACTATTGTCCGCATGCATATCCTATAAATATTTTTATTATTTAAATACGACTTAATGATAGATGATAGGGCAAGTTTTGTAGCTTATGCTGTATATTTTACAATTTTTAACTATTCAATATAGGTAATTCGATTGACAAACCTATCTTGCTTCTTTGAACATTATCAATATAACATATAAGAATAGTGGAGTAATATGGTGTCCTTCCAACTGTTTGAGTGGTTTAGCCTAATGAACTGAAATGTTACAATAATAAATGATTGAACTCTTTTTGAAATATACTAAGTATTCATACCCACTCCTAATAGAACTAATAAGGTAGTGTTTATGAATATATTTCAAACTTAATGACAACATATAGATAAACAAAGGAGAAAATTAATTGGCACTGACAATGTCCAGATTATTACAAAAATAGTGATACAAAGAATGAAGGCTTTTGTTTTGCCCATAGTCTAACTGAAAATCTAGGTTCAATAGGCAAAAGACACATTTCAAATGATAAGATGTTTAAAGGATTTCAAGTCTCATGCTAGGACTTCTGGTTTTGATTATCGGATTGTTATATTCTCGCTCATGTTGTATTGCCAATTATTATCGATCGCTAGCATTATTAACTGGTACTGTGTTTTGCGGTCATCCAAGTTCAATACTTCATTATGGGAATCAAGAGTGAATAAGAAGTTTATATTGACTGACCTCATTAAGAAATATATTCACAACTTATTCATAAATATTTATCTGTTCATCTCAGCAAACTAAGCTGAATTTTCAATCAATATAGTATATCTGTTTCTTCAGAAAGTTGTGCCAAATCTCAACCAACAGCGCACTCCCGTCAACATTTCCCACTTATTACTCGGCCTATATTTGACTAAATCTACGTACAAATTCTAAGTACATCATATGCACTTACTAAATCGTTGTCATACGTCCCCTCTTGTTTTTCTTCTTCCAAAATTTCCTCACTAACATTGCTATTCAACCTCCCCCAGTATGAAAAGTACCTTCAGGTCAGACGTTAACCAGTACAAGATGAAGCGAACTAAAAAAAGATCACAAAGTGGCAAACTGTTTTCAAACAAAACCTCATATATATTGGGGAAGAAAATAAACAAAAGACTTCCTTTCTTAGGTGTTCTGATTAGTAAAAATGCCAAAGAAAAATTACATATTAATGATTAGGAATCCATACCACGCAACATATATTGTACATCATTGTACCGTTTAAAATCTTTCACTGCACCATGATGTAGTCAACCTCTGAAACTCACAGAGTTCATCACACGAAGGACATATTTATCACGTAATATTATTATAAGGAATTGAAACACTTTTTATTTTTTCTTTAACTTCTCAGAAATAGACTTTTATTGACTTGTACTTCTTTTACTGAATTTTATGTGTAATTCCCAAGCTAATACAGTAACACATCTCTTAGTTAATCATGGTCACATTTGTTTTGAGTGGTAGGTTTTGGGATACCTAATTTATTTATCACTTCACTTCTAAGAATGAAACTCTTGATTACAGATATAGTCAACATTCTTGAAGTCAACTGATTAATTTTTTTTAAGTAAAATAGCTAATTTATTGAAATGTTTGTAACTTTATAAGTCGTTTATCAGATAAACAAAATCATAGCTGAATGTTTCAACAGTTTCTAAAGTTCTTCAAATCAAGCTGTACAATTATAATAGAAAATAATACATTTTAAAAAGAATATAGGAAAGATAGCAATTCATGATATCTGAAATGATGATTAATATGATGACCACAATAAACATAATGTGAACAAAAGAATTATATCGTAAACTAGATAAGTAAGATGTCATTGAAGTAGGAATCCATTTGAGTTTGTATTAAAAAGTAAACGATTGTTTTAATATCCTAATTAAAATAATTGTTCAATAGTAAGAATAAATTTAATCTAATAATATTTCTATAAATTATTTTATTTTCATTTTGATTAAAAAACCATTTGTTTTTCGAAAAATCATGGACTCTTAGGACCCCTGATAAGATCTTGTAAATATTATTCAGTTAAACACAAATAACTATTCTATGTAAAAAAAAAGTAGAAACTGAGAAATTGAACTTATCTATTACGAAAAGCGAAATTAAAATAATAGCCGAAACAGAATTTCATATTTGATTCCGAAGTCAAATGGTTTTTTTTTAAAACTAAATTGTACCTATTGTGATGTTGGAGAGTTCCAAAGAATTGCTCGGAAAAGTTTATGAGATCCCAGAAAACCCTGGAAAATACTTTATCCAGCCTTCATGGAATAGAAACTTCTGAAAAACATCTAGAAGGTAAAGAGTCACGTGTCATGTTTCGGACTGGATATTTACATAAAGTAACCTTGGAATTAAGCGTTCTTTTCGTACTTCGCACCTTTTCTCTTGTGTTCAAGTTGTCGTGTAGATTTAGCCTGGTTTTATTAGAAGCGTCTAGAAAGTTGGATCGGCCGTTCATTTAGAAGACTTACCAGAGCTCCAATGATTTTCACGCATTCATCCTATCCTAATGTCTTTTCACCGAAGTATTTACGAAGATAACACTTCTAAGATGACTGAAACCTCACTCTATTTCTGTCTATATTTAGTTACTCTCTGGAGGACCAAGAATATATCAATCCCAAAAATAATGATAAAGTTATGACGTCTAAAAATTAATCTATTAATATTTTAAATATAATCTATACACACAAGAAAAATATACTGGACGTTACTTAAATTGTCAGGAATTGGCGTGTTCGATGTTATTTGATCTAGCATTGCACAATCATGAGTAGTTAATAATTCCAATCGTAATTGTTATAGTTTGAGATGCATATCCAGATAAAGCATATAATGAGGATATCATTGTGATCTGTAAACGTGGAAGGCAAATACATTAGAGTTCTGTTATCATAACAGCAGGTAATTGAGAACAAAAGGCATATGTGTGTAACAGTGTATTTGTGAGCAATAATCAGTGCTATGGGGGATACAAAGCGAAAACGGAGAAATCCAAGGTCATGCGTCTTTAAACAACTATTTTACGGGACGGGAAAACCGTTAAGCCAGGGGTTTTCGCGCACATGTTACATATTGTCGCGGACTTTTGTGTCGTTATTATCAGCTATTATCAGCATTTTTTTCGTCACACGTCAATTTTTGTAATGTTTGTGCTTGTTACTTAGCCTTTATTCCAGTTTAATAGTAGTTTGACGTATTTTTTGCTCACAACCTGAGTGAATGTTTAGTCAGCCTAATGTGGTTATTTGTAACAATACAAACTCAAGCAAGTAAATTCACTATTTTTTAAGTCAAAAATAGATCACAAATAGAGTTTAAGGAAAATAAGATTTAAAACCTTTTACATCTGGTTCACCTCCTTGATTATGGTGATGATGAACATGGATGTTGGTAGTTGTTTATAAAATGTAGGTTGAATCAATTAAGAGTTAAACTATTTACGAATATTATATAACTTGCTAATATATAGCCATAAACAGTTATATCCATTATAAGTATCATCGTTTTGTACTGAAGTTACATATTATTATGTAACGTATCTGAGAAGAATTATGTGAGTAACAGTTGACGTCGATAGTCTTTCCCATCCGCTTTCTGAACGTATACAGAAACAGTGTATATATATATGAGAGAGAAAAAAATAGATAAACAGCATTTTCTGTGATAACGATTCGGAATATGAACCATATTAAGTACTTTCCCAGTAAGATTAGTAACTCAGTGTATATCACCAACGTAGATGATCTATGTCGAAATGATTGGAGGCCTACTCGAGGTAAACATGGATGGTGTGACAAACTAGCTAACGTCGAAGTCACACCTCGTGGTCAGCACCTTACGTGGACTACCCCATTGACATATCAAGGTACCATAGATGCTTTGAAGACTGTGCAACACAGAGGACGTTATTACCGAAATATATTAGTTAAAGTAGATACAAGCGAAAGTGAGACCACTGCCGCATGGGCCAGTCCATGGCACACGATTAACTAATGCGTGTTGGTTGTCCCTGACCTTGACGAGGATCGATGATTTGCTCGATATTCAATGACCCAACTGCCGGATGATTTGGCTAGGGCTTAGTGACATTTCTCTGGCCCTACATCAGTATCATTAAAGCATTGGGTTCAGCGTGTAATGATACAAAGATTCAGTTTATCCACACTTACCAGTAAGGTGTATCTGTAAATGTTCGGAAACACTTACTCTCTCATATGCTTTATATCACATCAATAATTACCATGATCGACTGGGCTACCTTTGAAAGATATGGGCTTTCACTTTTTCAACTCTTAAGACTATCCAAACGACTGTTTGAAAGTGAATAAATCTCCAATGAATTCTGAAATTTACTTAAAGGACATTGATATGTTGGAAATTAAAAAAAAAATTAGTAGAGTCTAACTTCAATTCAATAAAGTTGTGTGAATCCTCATAGAATTGTATTCTTTAGATAGGATAGATTGATTTTTTCAATAAACACCTGTATAAAGACTGGTTGCTCTAGGTTGCTAATACATACTTATACAAAGCTTTCTTAGGCTACTAAGGTCAATCGATTATTTAACCAATCATTCATCAGCATAGTACTATGACAATAGATAGTTGGTTAAGTTGTGTAAAATAAAGTCTACTTTAATCACAACATCGAATTTATATAATCCTGTTCATTTTTCAATATCATGGTTTTACAAGAAGATGAAGATTATGTGAATTTTCAACCTAGTGGAACACATATAAAAAAAATAATCGAACCAGAATGCACAGAGGAAGACCAAAAAGAAAATAAAAAGGCTGGAAGATGGAATACCGTGAGTTTAATAATAATAATAATAATAATAATAATAATAATAATAATAATAATAATAATAATATGACCAATATTCATTCATTTATAGTGATTTTTTACTAATAAATGTATATGACACCAATCCATATGATATGATTTTATTTTATTGAAAGAAATAATTAAAATAATCTGAATTAATTGCTTAACTCACATAAAAACGTGAGCACATTCAAACCGTTTTATTAAACTATAATAAAATTTCTATTAAACATTTCACTATAGAACAATACTTATTAATTTTTTGGTAAATTGTTATCATCTACTAAAAACCTATAGAATTCCACTATGAAGTGATGAAATAAAAATGAGATTTAATAAAAATTAGATTATGGCTAACAATAAAGTACTTGATACAAGTTTCCTTTGACTTTGGACCTGTCAGCTGAATTTACTTGCACCTATATACTGATATTCACATTGAAACCTGAACTCATTAGCCATCTCTCCAAACATTATTTCGTTATCGTCGGAGCTAGTGAGTTCAAATACAAGCCTTTATAATCAAAGAATTTTTATTTTAAAATTGATTACTCTTGATGTATCATAAACAAACTATACATATTCCACTACTAATTCTTATTTTATTTCTAAGATTACAGATCAAACATCGTGTTTAGACACCTTTGACCTACAAAGCTTCACAAATCAGATATTTTAAAAGTAAACAAACTACGTATTCTGAAATTGATGTGGCATTTTTTGTTCTTACTCTAAGGAACAGGTAGAATCATTAAACTTTAAATTTAATTAAAACTAAAACATTGTTGAAAAATGGATATAAACAAAAATTGGTTACAGTATAGTAAATAAGTCTATCTCCGATTCGTAAAATTGATTAGCCAAGGACTTTACCTTTATCAGCGAATTAAGTAATAGGACATAATGATGGATGGTGGCTAGCAGTGAAATATAGGTTGCGCGTTTCGTCCCATTTGGGACTCGTGAGCTGGAAGTACCACCATCCGGAAGTTGGTGTTCACTCCAGGACTCGAACACCAGTACCGTTCGCTTAAAATGTCATCGCGTTATCCATTTATCTACTGAGTCCTGATTACCACTAGTCTGTGCAATGAATCTAAAGCACAATGATGTTCCATATTTGAAGTTAATTACTAGAAAGAGATTAGTACAAAACGATGAAATCTATTTATTCCCTTCCCAATGATCTGACGAAATGCTATATTCGCAAAATCACGAAAGCTCATACTGTCTTAAAAATTCGAACTCACAAGTTTAGAAACGATTATTCAAAGAAACTTCGATCTGGAACTACTAATGACACAATATGACAACTAATCCATTATTCCTCAGGGTTATTGATCGCCAACATACTTGAAAGACCATGCTTTATACTGCATCATCGAAACTTTGTGCCTAAATGTAACGGAAAGCTGAGTTTTCTGGAGATTATAAAATATCCATATATATATATATATATATATATATATATATATATATATATATATATATATATATATATATATATATATATATATATATATATATATATGCTACCTTGAATAAATAATTTTAAACGTGATGTAAATAAATGAATCAGATTAACTTTCCGTTCACTTTTCATTGAATAGGTTCGTAAACTTGTGACCAGTGCAAGTCAACATATTAATAGTTCACAAATGTTGAGTATATTTCGCTTTAGATGAAATTAAAATCATTACTGTCGTTTTGTTTACTTTAAGGGTTATCTAGCATTTTCTCTATATTAGCTCAACGTCATAAAAATGTTATTACAGCTGGTGATATACTGCTCGTTATGAGAGCATTAGGTGATGCATTAACAGAAGCTGAACTACAAGATTTGATCTTTGAGTTAGATGTTGATCGTACGTATTTTCCTTAGAGCTGAAAAAGCATATTACTACAAATACATACATATTATAGGAGATGGGAAATTAGATTTTTCAGAACTGTGCGCTTTTGTTGTTGAACGAATATACAAGAAGAAATTAGATCATGATTTTGAAGAATTATTTCGAATACTAGATCAAGATGGTGAGTTTCACATTGATTTGTTTAACTGTTAAAGATATTTATTGAATTAATAGCATAAGTTAGTTTATTCAGACAGAAATATTCATCTCCCTCTCAATTATGGTGACAAAATGTATTAAGTGACCTGAGAATTAATGTAGATATCGTAACGCCAGATGAAAAATTGAATTACAACGGACAAACTTTTGAACTTTGCTGACAGTTTTCACAATGAAAGATTGCTTATAATTAAAATAAAATTAACCTACGAATAGAGCAGTAATTTTGAACATTTTTAGTTCAAAATGAATAACCGGCATACTAATATTACGTTGATTATATACTTGGCATTGATTCAGATCTAGGAATTCTGTAACTGGTCACTTCTGTATTATACGTTAAGTCTGAAACTTCGAAATATCGAAAAAATATTTCAATGGTGTTTTCAGCCTAATAGTTAATGAGTGACTATTTACCAGGGTAGATTCTGTCAGGATAGATGAGAAAGTTATTAAGTCCTAACATTTTCCTCTAAATAATTCTTATCAGTTAATTTTATTCCAATTGGCTGAATCATTCTCTTATTTAGTCAGAAAACTGTTTTTCTAATATCATTGATCGGATTGTGGATTTGCACATGTATGAAGTGTGTAAACTAAACGAAATTGTAGACTGCATATTATATTCAACCGTTTTGCATTCCCATCAACTACCTCTATCAGTCAAATTACTTACTTACTTACGCCTGTTACTCCTCGTGAAGGAGCATAGGCCACTCACCAGCATTCTCCATCCAACCCTGTCCTGGGCAATCCTTTCCAGCTCCGTCCAGTTGTAATTCATCCTTTTCATATCTGCTTCTATTATCCGACGCAATGTGTTCTTTGGCCTTCCTCTTTTTCGCTTCCCTTCAGGGTTCCAAGTTAGGGCTTGCCTCGTGATGCAGTTTGACGATTTGCGTAATGTATGTCCTATCCATTTCCATCGTCTTTTCCTAATTTCTTCTTCAGCTGGAAGTTGGTTTGTTCTCACCCACAGAAGGCTATTGCTGATGGTATCCGGCCAGTGGATGTTGAGTATCTTGCGTAGGCAGCTATTTATAAATACTTGTACTTTCTTGATTGTGGTTGTTGTAGTTCTCCAAGTTTCAGCTCCATACAGTAGAACTGCCTTGACGTTCGTATATCAGTCAAATTGTCTAACATCAAATAAATGTGGGTCTTTCACACAATGTATTTTAATTACTCAGTAGGTCGAGTTTAACTGACAACCATATTATTATATCAGCAACATCCGTTCTCACGCTGAAATATAAATACTCATCCGCCTTTAAACAGAACATGAAATTTTTTAAAGTGATCAATATTTCTTTCAGCTTCTAATGTAGTTTCAACTTAGTTGTTAAAAACAGTTAGTTCCTTTGATGAATTTAGATAATACAATGAGAAGACGAGCCTTATCAGAAATATTTGGTATCCCAGTACAATACATTTCGAATAAACTGATGACGCATTAATTTGGTTTCAAAAAGAGATAATAATAGTATGAGTCATTTCACTTTGATTAGTAAACCAATGTTACCTGGGTAGTGTAAGTACAAATTGGTTTCAGACACAGAGAGAAGTAAGCTTTCGTATATCTAAGACTTCAATTTGCTTACGTATTCTCCATAGATAACTACAAAGGTTGAGTTAAGATCAGTCTTATGGCTTTTTCAACTGTGTTTGACAATGAGAGATGAGTGCTTGTTATCAGCTCACACAGGGTCATTTTGATTAATTTGACTTTGGGGCCATTTTGTACATGTTCAGCCACCCTAACTTGCAAATCACGATTACTCCTCATTCTAAATCTGTTTTCACATACAAATGTAAGTTATTAAACATAGTGGCGTGTGACTCAATCTCTTACATGATGTTTTTCTTGTGGTGAAAAGCATGGACAGTTTTTCAGTATTTATGACTCTGACTGTATAGTATGTTATATTGTGAATCGACCCAAGCCTACATCTCTACATAAGCTATTTGATTCACCTCTGACTGATAGAGTGATGTAGATAGATTTTTCATACGGCAGAGTAATAGTAGATATCAACTCACTGGTTCTTCCATCAATTTATGACTTTTAGTGTGTATTCACTCTTCATCAATCTTTCGTTTAGCAGCTTCACGTCGTCTTTAATAGTATCAACTGTACAGATACGGTTAATCCTTTTGAGTAGGCACTTAATCAAACCTTTGTATTGAACTAGATAGTAGCTATGATAGCTAAGATACTGACCTGTCCATACTGGATTTTTATAAATATCTCTTGATTTAATCATCTTTTCTACAAATCAGTATATATGAGAAGTGAAGCTGGTTGTTTAAAATAAATGAAAAGCGGTTGGCGATGAAATCCATGACTCACATTTCGTTCTATTTGTAGAGTAAATATATCAACAACGTGATAATCCAAACCATTACAAATTAAATTAATTATGATTGTTCTTTTCTTTTCTAAATGAAAGGCTAATATTGATTTCGAAGTGTTAAGTTTATTTTAATGCATAATTTGTATCTACAGTTTTGTTTCGTACATATTGTACATACCGCTTATAAAGCTGATTATTTTCGATGAATTTTGTTAGATTTTCAATTCAAGACGTAGGTCGAGAAGTAAAAGTTCAAAAAGGACTAACTATAACAACACCATCAATCAGTCAAAAGTATTTGCCCTGAAATATAAACTGGACTTCTTCAGTGTATAATAATAATAATAATAATAATAATAATAATAATAATAATAATAATAATAAATCTCTAAGAATTGTTGAAGAAATAGACAATACAAAATTAGTTAAAAACATTTAGTCACATAGAATAACACAAGTCTTTCACAGGTTTATTTGGAATACAAAGAATTCATATTAAAGAAAAAACACAACTTATTTTACTACAACAAGTACTAGATTGACATACAAGAAAACAGCCCTGTTTTATTCAATATTTATACGGGTGAACATACGAACATAAGATAAATATTTTGTTTATCACATGATTCATCTTATCTAAAAAAAATCTATGAAATGATAGTTTGCCAAAATGTAGTGTATATTGAAAAAGGTAAAGCTTTTAAAGAAAATCTGTTATAAGGCAATTACCAATATCAAGTTCTAATCTAATACCAAGTGAATTCAAATTCACCCCATTGCACAAGCAAGTGGCTATCAGGACTCAGTAGTTGAGTGGATAACGCGATGGCGTTTGAAGCGAATGGTACTGGGTTCGAGTCCCAGAGTAAACATCAACTCTGAGATGCAGGTACATCCAACTGACAAGTCCCAAATAGGACGAAACGCGCGTCCTGGATTCCACTGCTAGCCACTATCCATCATTGCTTATAAAAGCTTGTGAATTAAGGCAATATCGAGGCAATCCGCACAGTATGCACATATGCCAATAACAGACTGATCAATTGTAGTCTTAAACCTGAATGGGAAGATACAAGCAAAACAATACCAAGTGAATTCTAATCTAATTTTGACATTTGTATCTAATTTAACTAGTTAAAAATAAAGTACTTTCTCAAATAAGCATAAGTTAGAATCTGGTGAATAGATCGATTGCTTAAATCAGTTTGTCACACTTCAGATTAGTAGTAGTTTGGGTAATATTTAAATCCCAGGTTTCCTTAACATAACTGTATTCATTGTCTTCATATGATTATAGAGTTCACTAATCAGGTATATGGATAATATATACTTTAAAGTCCAGTGGAAAAAAACTGGTTATGCATCTTAAGCAAAGGCTATTTGATTTCACTTGGTGTTGTTTGCTTGTATCTTTCCATTGTTGTTTGGGACTGTGATTGATCAGTCTCTTATTGGCATATGTGCATCCTGAGCGGATTGCTTTGATATTGCCTTAAGTCACAAGCTTTTTAAGCAAAGATGGATAGTGGCTAGCAGTGGAATCGAGGATGTGTTCGGAGCGAACGATAATGGGTCCGAGTCCCTGGGTGAACATCAACTCTGGGGTGTAGGTCCAGCTGACGAGTCTCAAATAGGACGAAACGCGCGTCCTGGACACCACTGCTAGCCATTATTCATCTTTGCCTAAGAAATTATTTGAGTTAAAAAAACGAATATAAATCACAGCTTTATTCATTCACAATCAACCACTTCAAAGTTAACAGTCATTTGAGTTGATAGAATTTCTTCCCAAATTAATATCAAATCATTTCTTTTGTACTTCATATTAGGAGATTATCAACTCTTAAGAAATGCTTATCAAAAATTAACAGATTTCCTCTACACTATCCCAATGTACGGAACAATTTGTATAATATGTAGTGTTTTCGTAGGACTAAAATTATTCGACATATTATAAGTTTGCAGAATAGTTCTATCACGTCGGCTGTTCTAAATTCTCCCAGATGAACATTTCCCTTGTCAATATTTCACAGTCATTTTAAGCAACTAATTTTCAACGTAACTACTAAAGTCTTTCATTTCTCTCAAAAAAATTGCTAAGGTGGATGTCATGACAACCCTGAGTGTTATAATTTTCCCAAATAGTTGTTATGATTAATTATTCTACTCTCCACTTTGAAGACTACATTATTTAACAGCTGACTACATTTCTCATCTAGTTTATTGATTAGTTGGTGTTAACATTAATATTACGGATAAAGATAACTAACCAATCATAAGAAAGGTCATAAGCACAAGGACATGTAACTTAAAAATATGGATGACTCATTAATAGACAAGGGACATATGACAGTGGATTTGTGTGCATTGGAGACCATGCAAATTAATAAGTACTCTAAATAATACTCTAAAAATGAGAACTGATAAAAAATCCAAACATTAAATACATAATATGTTAGGTTTTGTACAACATAACGTCAACTAAAGCAGTCGTTTTCATCTATATACATGCATCACCTCTTGGGTGCTTAAATACATATGAGTATGGGTTTCTGTGATTCAGATTATGAGAACTTGGTTTTCAGTAGTTTTGAAATTCATTAATAGCTACCACTCTTACTGCTGACCGATCTGATAACAGATGTACGGGTCAGGTTATTTGCCGAAATATATGGAGGATGCCAACGCAAACAATAAATTATTAGACATAACTAACAGCTTCTCTTTATAGGTTCAAAAGATTTATTAATGAGTTTTATTCAAATCAATGAATGTGACTAAATAGAACATACAATAATCTATCCAGAATACCACGGATTTTCAGAAACCCTTCGGTAAAATTATTGATGTGTATCGCTTAACCGTTATTAGCGTATCAATGAAATAAGATGGATTTGTATAAGTTGTATGATACTCTTCATTCTAATTATTACTTCAGATAATTATATTAAGTCTACTGAAATATTTAATCGGGACGCGTACTTTCCAATTGTTGTACTTTGACGACTGTATTGATAAATCCGTTTGACGATATAAAGTTCTGTAGAGCTTTATCGATATTGAATGTGTTTTAATCAAAATTGACTGTAGAAATTCACTCTGTAGATTGCAGTTGTTTGTAATTTATCAGTTTGATATTCATTCTCCGATGTTTTTGTTTCCATTCAGTTTTGAAACTTGTACTCAGACTAAAAACCTGAATAATAATTCACGAGTAAAGTGAATCAAGTTAGGGCCATATTATTTGGATGACCAATAATCGTCAGTCAGATGTTTATTTCCCAGAAGTCAATTTGTCCAAAAATGGATACAAATCTAAGTGACTGATAAGCCCGAAATAAGTGGTTTTATTTCTAGAAACCACATTGACAATATTGCATTATTCTTCAAAATGTTCCCACTGAAACTCCGTACGAAACTGTAGACAATAGTAGTGGATGTACACTCGTAAATAGTGAGTAAAGGTATCTGATCATGCTTTCAGATATTTCGAGAAATCGCCTCAATTTCATTTGTGAAGAGCGTCGCTTATTTTTTTCTTGAAAAGGGATAAATGATGTTTAGAAACAATTATGTAAATAGATCATGTTCGACTCACCATTGTTTGAACATTTGTCCATCCTCCAAACAAATACATGAATAATTCATCTTGATTTCATAGAAAACATTTACATTTACTCTGAAAAAGTACTAAATCTGGTTACCTTACTAAGTAGTTAGTTATGACTTTTATTGGCAAGCGAATACATTTTATATGCAATGGTTTCAAAGTATTGAGATGATGGTTAGGGTTTGAAGCTCAAGTAGATGGGTTTGTTGAAGGTTCGCTCTATGAGCTAGATGGTTTTGTAGTGAAAGTTTCACTATTCTTTTGAACATCATTAGCACAAACTTCAGTTAAAAATGAGGTATATTTAAGTGACGAGAACTACCATGAATTATGAATATTAATGATATCATTTACACAGAACTATTAATATATTACTTCAGTCATTGTTTTATTAAAATCAGACTTTCATTTGAGTTTAAAAATTAACAGAAAATAGTATGAAATTTGTCCATTACTGATAAACAACTCAATATATTTTTTACCAGGGTTTATAACTTGATAGTTTGTTAACTGGGCGTAGTTGCAAAACCAAAACACAGTAATTATCTCTTCTTAATATAAGATAAAACTGGTATATACATATCACCTACAATAGTAATATATCTGAGATCGAAGAGCTGATAGTATAACAACCAGTCATTTGAAAACCTTATGTAAATAACGGCCGAAAAGTTTTACGTTGGTTTAAATATAAATAATCTACTTTGATTACTGAGAGGTTGAATACAACAACAGCATCTGGACCAGTATTCACTTCATCCTAAATTAAAGTTGTCTAACACTTATGATACGGTCACCGTACATTTTATCGCAATAACTATGTTGATAGTTCAAAACCAGACACAATATATGCATTAATTCAACTTTAGTTCTCACCACTACAACAGCAATTTTCGAATCAATGCTACTGTGAACAGTCTAAGTAGAAAATATTTGTAATCGATTAACTTATTATAAAACCGACCTTCTAAATATTGGACATTTCACCATGTTAGCTTAGAATAACATTTTAATCATCGGTGTAAAAGTAGAATGTAACCAATTACGTTACATCTTAAAGGTGATCAATCATATGATCTCTTTTACAATAACAAGAATAAGATCGATGTTATGATCAAAGAATGTATTGGAGAATATTGTGTTTTAATGAGAAATAAAGCAAAATATTTTGTAAATTTTTATTGATTTATACGGTTATTATTTTATTACTTAAAATGAATGCATGAACCACATATCATGGTAGGTAACAATAGATTTCACGGCAAGAGTCTAACTTGTGACTTGTTTAACAAATAAGTATCCCATTTAATGAAAATCAAACTCCTCACTGATATGAGAAGTAATAAACGTCAATTACACAATTGAAAAACGATGTACTTGAAACAGTTTTCCCTACGTTGGTACACACATACAACACAGTGAACAGACGATTACCGACCATTGGATAATGGATGGTAGCATTTCTAGGCCTTACATAATGGGGTTACATCAAACATTTGTGTAGAACCTTTCCGTTGTTTGTTAAAGTGTACTATGTATAATATTGAATAGTTATTTCTTCGTTATTTTAGGTGATGGAACACTATCAAAAGATGATTTACGCAGTATTTTACGCTATTTTGAACTGGACTTCAGCGATGAAATAATTGATGATATTGTGAAAGAAATTACTGGGTCTGAAAATAACCTTATTACCTATTCAGGTAATGAAAAGACTCATTAATTTGACAGTGTTTGAAACTAGTTTGTACTGAAAATAATGTTGACAAGTCTTTGTCATTTACTGCGTCTTAGTTGCATGTACCTCTGATATCTCACAATTGAGAAATGCAATATGTGCAGAAATAATTGGTCTGAAGATAGAGCTAATTACAGAACGGTAACAACTACTTTAAAGTTAAGAGTTACTGAATATGTGTTTTGTCCAATCCAGTAGTGTAGCCATCTACTCAATGTACGGGCGCAATCAAGTTTCTCTATGGCGATGACGTCACTCAAGTGTTGAGTTAAAATCTACTTACTTTATTTAGCAATTCTACAGTGAAACGCAGTCATCTGTTTATGGTGCTGACTTACATGGTCTCAAAACTGTATACTTCTGTGTGAATTGGATACATCAAATAAAAAAAGCTGCTGCTTCCAATTTTTCAGTGGTTATTCACCAGATGTTGTCCTATAGTGATAAACATCTTCAAAGTAAAGTATCTGTGTCATGCAACCTGGATCTACTGATTTTAATTGTCGATAGACCAAGATTATATGAATATTGAATTAAAATATAATGAATGTGTGTGTAGTACTTTCTTGTAGTTATTCAAGTGAGAACTTTTAGTAAAGTTTATTCTTATATATAACTATTTTTGAATTCGTAACTAATTTCACAAATTTTTATCTCTTTTATAGATTTGTTTAAGTTTATCATAGATTCAGACAAGGAGTTTACTATTACTGAAATCTTGAACAATCCTTTATAATATATGAAGAGATAATTAAACTCCAACTTCGTCAAGAATTCTTATTTATTTGACTTAATAGATCGTACTCAAAGAATTCCATTAATAAATGATGAATTGTGTTGAATTTTTATTTCTTACAGAATCTTGTTTCCTAGTTTTAGTAACAAGTAAATTGATTTAAATGTTTGTCTCAGTAATAATATTTGTTTTAAAAAGATAAAACTAACATAAATGATGTGTTGTTGATATAGTAGATATATGTTATTGGTCTCATGTAAAAAACCATAAAGGAACTAGTGACATTAGATACGATGAATTTGATTAACACTGGATGACACTTTGGATTATTCTAGAAATAAACACTATATTTAAATACATGTTTAGATAGCAAATAATTTCTCCAGTAAACATTTTTTGCATGCATTTTTGTCAAATTTTCCATGTGACAGTAATAACTTAAACAAATTATGGTCTGTTAGAATGAAAGATCAAAGTGATAAACAAACACCATATCTACATTGTTGGGATGCTGCCTAAATATATTATCCACTCATTAAAGTAGGTGGAGCGAGGTAAGGACCTGGAACCTAATAATTGAAAGACAAGTGTTTCGAGCCGTACGATGTGGCAACAGCTAACAAAACATAGAGTGAATTAACATAGGCTGGGTGCATAATCCCATTGTCTGACTACATTGTGATCAGACGAGACTGAAGCTAAGGGCATAAGTGTATCCTGGTTGACTTCCAGTGTATTCGATCGAATTAACAATAGAATATTGAATGTTAAATAAGAGAGTAATTTTGGATACATATATTCCAGACATCTATTAACGAAGACAGACAATGAGGGATACGGAACGGAGATGGTGAACAGACCTACTCATCAAAAAACCGCTCAATATTTATTACCACCTCTGAATTAACTACTTTTATGAATCCGGTGTCCATCTTTTTGTGTTAATGAGGACCGATGCATATATGTGCCTGGTCCTATGTTGTAGCTGATTGACTGACTGACAATATTTATAAGCACTATATATATTACAGACACATAAGACTACCATACACATATGCTCGAGGCGACACATAAATGATAGAAAGACTAGAAAGATCAGAATAATTCATCTGTTCAAAAGTTAAGATAAACGGTTTAGGTACATAATAAAATAAAAGCTGCTACATGTATATAGCTAGCTTTCACCATGGACTGAAATTAGCTAGGGAAATATAGAAAATAAGGAGAAACAGAATATCTGTCCTATTCTAGTCTGAAACTCAGCATTTCGAGGTTTACAACCTCAAATGTGATCAAACTTTCAGGTTCAAAATTGAGCATGGTATCTTTAAATTGCTAACCCGATACCGAATTCTTCACGTTTAACTATCGAATCACTTTGAGATACAGTAATTCACTCATTAATTTTCTACTCATTGGGATATTACAAACATAATATTTTCATTTAGAACATTCTATCCAATGCTCAATTTATTTGAAGTGATCAAGTCAATAATAACTATATATATATGCAAGAACAGGTCAGAGGTTATTTGGTGTTAGAATCAAGAAAAAACTAAGGATCGGTGTTTCTTTGATTCTAACACCAAATAACCTCTGACCTGTTCTTGCATATATATATATAGGATTAATATTGATAACGTTTGTCATTCCAATTCTTTACATTTACTTATGTCAGTTGTTCCATACTATTTCTTACCTCAATGTAAAATTCAAATATATATTTGGCTGTAAGAGGTTGATGAGAAACCACGAAATATAATGAATTCATATTATTCTGTATCTATATTTGTTCTGGCTTTATTTAAACTCATAAAGGGAACTAATTACATGAAATATTTTTGGGACTAATTTACTCACTATAAGTTTATGTACTTAGAATTACAATGGTTTTATAAAAACCAAATGGTTCCATCTAGGTGTTTTTTTGGAAGTGTAGAATTTTCACGTGAAACATAATAGTTAAGAGTTAAATGATTTAACCGATAAGCCATTGTTAATTAACTCAACTCGATTGTAAACATTTAGTTTTTTTCTTTTATTAATATTATTACTTTGATAGTATTGTCTAGATAGTTTTGTTTACTTTTATAAATTAACCTAAAATATGTGAATATTGAAAATAAAGAATATCGGAATTTCATTATTCTTCAAAAAGCTTGGATCAGATTGCCAGGCGAAACGTTGGATTTATTTCAAACTCTTTCGATGAGATTTTACAAATACATTCTTTCTCTTTAAGTTAATTATTCTGTTTCGATTTTTAATGTTAAATTAGAAACTTGATTAGAAAAATCCAAATGATATTTGTACTTGACATAGAAGATAATTGAAGTATTTACTAATTAGTGTATATTCATTTATGAATATAATTAAATCTTACAAAGTATTCACATTCTAAAGTTGAATAAAATCTTTTTAAAACAAATTACATTGCATAAGCAAAGATGGATAGTGGCTAGCAGTAGAATCCAGAATGCGCGTTTCGTGGCTGAGTGGATAACGCGATGGAGTGGGATCGTGGATGCGCACTGCTGAGGAGTGCCACAATAGGACGAAACGGCCGTCCAGTGCTTCCAGGTTTTCAATTGTGGTGGTCTAACATCAATCGGTTCATGATCTCAATCAAAAACTTAATAGTCTCCACAACCCCTATACTAGTAATTTTTTTGTTTTGATAAGATATCTAAGCAATTACAAAGATTTATACGAATATTCGTCAAGATTAGAACGAATAGTTTGAGAGAAGTTGGGCGCTGAATATAGAGAAGTCATCATATGTGAAAATTATATTTGAAATAATCTCAGTGATTGGAATTTAAATAATTCCAACGTTTCGTCCAGCTAACTTGTCTGGACTTCTTCAGGGTAATAATCAAAATCATTAAAGAAATATATAGCTCTTTAACAATAATAACTATACTGTGTTACACCAATCAAATTTGGATGTTGATTTTGTAAAATAGGATAAAATGAGTCAGTTAACTACAATTAATGTGAGGAATTCAACTACATGGAAATAATTAACTGAATAAATTTTTTTTGTGTGAGTGTGTAGGTATGTATGTATGTGTGAGATTAATTATTGATGTTTTGTGTTGATATGTTATATATGAAGGAATAAACAAATAAAAGTGCAAGTTCAAGGTTGATAAAATTGTTAATGAATCATCGATGTACATGTCAAACAAATACCTAATTGTATAGCTAAAATCTCATTGAAATCAGTCAAAAATAACGATGCATGTGGAATAAACAGGTTGAATAAAGATAGGGTTCAAATTACTTGTCATAATGAAATTTGCCATGTAGTCGACAGTTGAATGCCATCTTTCGGTTCAGGCTGTTCTTGTCCGCCCATATATACAGCGCTTCTGATGTCAATTTTTCTTTATGGGTTTTAAAACCTTTCTGAAGTATTTTGGTCACTTCAAAATTAATCTTTTGTCCTGTTTCTAATGCATGTAACGCTATCATAGACTTATTCTCAAGTTTCTTCAAATCAACCGACGTGTTCTTTTATAACTTGTGTTATTGTTGTGTCCCGATACGAATAATGAATGGTAACTTTTGGGATCCATTTATGGACAAATACTATGCGCATATTTTTATAGTATAATTCTTAAGTAACTAAACTGTTCATATTCATGTCCATCTTATCATGAGCTTTATTTTGACCTATGAACTATTATTATACGATTTACCATTCTTGAGTTATGGCCTGTCTATTAATTACTACCTCCCTCATTCACAGCCACATTTGGCTAATTCTTGTACAAATGTTGTTTCATATTTTATGGCACGCTGTGGTTTGTCTGGTTGGTATATAAACCCAGTATGCTTGAAATAAATGATTCATGTCGCAGAGGCTGAGGTTGGTGTTCTGGACTTAACTGGCTGAGCTAGGAGGATGCAGGACCAATCAAGACACTAGGGTGCTCGCACAGGTTTCATGCGTCACTGGCCCGGTCGATAATTCACTGCTCTCTGCTTCGCGATATCATTACGTTATACAATAAACAGGGCACACAGGTCATAAGTTATAACAGTTATTATGTGGCTTACGATGCAATATATCACCAGTCAACTAAACTGTAAATGAAGTTTTAGTTGATCAACCTCAATTAAGTTTATAAATGTAATTAGACCGTACTGTTTATGTGAGTGTTAGTGTATAGATCAAATTAGATAAATGTTGAAATGTATAAAATCAAATTATTAAGCCACTCAGTCATATAAATTTTGATGGGAATCTTATCCAAACACATAGTACTCAAGTCATACTAAACTTAGCACCGTGCCACGTTTAACTAGTCAAACGTTGAAAGAACAGAACAAGTCCATTTGCCAGTTTCGATAACTTGAATTTAAATACAAAGAATATCCACAGTGAAATAGACATTATGAAGCTAGACCAGTAAGTCTACTTTATTTAAATTACAAATAATTGTTAGGATCCAACTACGAACGAATATATCTGGACATGATAAGAAATATTATATGATGACGATGTTCCTTGTTTGTTTAAAATAAACTATAAATTAGATGAATGCATTCTTAAGCTATTTATAAATCCTCAGTCATATCAGCAATTCTAT